GCTGAGTCAGTGTTGCCCTGAATGCAGAGGTGTAAAGTCACTAAGTACATTTACTCAAGCGAGCATTTTGAGGTACTTTACTTGAGTATTTCCATGTTATGCTACTTTGTACTTCTACTTCACTCCAATTCAGAGGTAAATGGTGTACTTTTACTCCACAACATTTATTTAATAATAATAATAATAATAATAATAAATGAGATTTATATAGCGCTTTTCTAGACCCAAAGACGCTTTACATTATGAGTCAGGTCGACAAACAAAACAGAACAAAAACACAAACAAAACAAAACAAACAAAACCGAAAAGCAGTCAGGAGGATGTTGATTCAGAGGGGGGAGGGCGGTTTAAGGATAAGCAGAGTTGAAGAGGTGGGTTTTGAGACGGGACTGGAACAGGGTGAGGGAATCAGACTCACGGAGGTCTCGGGGGAGGGAGTTCCAGAGCTTCGGGGCTGCCACAGAGAAGGCTCTGTCCCCGAAGCTCCGGAGTTTGGCCTTGGGGATTGAGAGCAAACCGGCTGAGGTGGATCTGAGGGACCGGGGTGGTTGGTAGAGGATGAGGAGGTCAGTGAGGTAGGGGGGGGGGCAGATGGTGGAGGGCTTTATAGGTGAGGACCAGGAGTTTGTAGTGAATGCGGTGTGAGACGGGAAGCCAGTGGAGTTCTTTGAGGACCGGGGTGATGTGATGCCATGATTTGGTGTGGGTGAGGAGTCTGGCGGCTGCGTTCTGAACACGCTGGAGTCTGTTGAGGGATGTTGTGCTGATGCCGAAGAGGAGTGAGTTGCAATAGTCAAGGCGGGAGGAGATGAAGGCGTGAATGAGTTGCTCAGCTGCGGGGCGGGTGAGAGAGGGACGGAGTTTGGCGATATTGCGGAGGTGGGAAAATTAGGTTTTTTACAACTTGGCGGATGTGGGGGTCGAGGGAGAGGGTGGGGTCGAATATCACGCCAAGGTTGCGTGCCTAGGTGGAGGGGGAAACAGGGGTGCCATCGATGGTGAGTGTCAGGTTGGGGTTTTTGCTGAGGGTGGATTTGGAGCCGATGAGGAGGAGTTCAGTTTTATTGCTGTTGAGTTTGAGGAAGTTGTGTTGCATCCAGGATTTTATTGCATTCAGACAGGATTCGATGTGTGTGAGAGGGGGGTTGTGGGGGGATTTGGTGCTGAGGTAGATCTGTGTGTCGTCAGCATAGCAGTGAAAGTCCAGGTTGTGATGGCGGAGAATCTGACCAATTTCCCCAATGTATCTAACACTAGGGAGTTCTCTGGCTTCCATCTTATAATTAATTATAAAGTAGCCTATTTGTTGTACCAAACTTAGTACCCAACTGATTTTTACTGGTTTTCTGTGAGAAGAATGCAAGGTAGTACTCCCACTTTGGTTTATATATGAACCATATATCTGATATAGATTTATCAGAAACTCGTTTAGTCTGGTTCATGCTATTGTACACAGGCATGCAAAAACGTGTGTTTACCGAATATTTAAGCTGGTACAGACAGGGAAAATAAAATACAGTAACCCTAATCAATGATTTAAGGCAGTGCACACTAGACATATTTCAATATGGGCTTTACATGTCAAATATCCTAGGATCAGTTTGAATAACAAACAGATATATTGTATTTGTTCTCTCGTCTTTTCAATTTTTTTAACACAACATTAACCCTTAAGCTTATGAAGTCATTGTTGTTATATGTGTGTTGTATATACAGTACATGCCACTGTTTATGCATTAGTTGTGTATAGTAAGTCTTTGTCATGTTTGATCAATTAAATAACGTTTCATACATGAATAAGAGATTTTTTATAATAACATTTATTTTGGTAATTTAATTCATGGCATTAATGTCTCTTTGCAGCCAGTCTGAAATATCTGACAGACACTCGAATAATGAATGGGGGTTCACCAACGTACCATTGTCAATACAACCCAATTTTGGCCAAGGCAAACCTCACAGGATCAAAGGTATCATGGATGGAATCTTGACTAACATATTTCTGGGTGTTTAATCAAAGATTGTCTGCACTGCATGAGATTAAAATGATACTCCTAGTAAAGATTTTTTTTACACCTCTTCGAATCTAGGTTTGGTTTAATTATTTATTCAACGCAAGTTGTGGCCTTAACTTCATCCAAGTTGCCAATCTCCCACTGCCACCACCGAACAGCGGCATCAACTACAAGACGACCACCATCAGAATACCTTGTTCAAAGCGTAAGTTTATTTGTTATGTTCCTCACTTCTTAGATACTTTATCAGAGGTAGCTGTTTTATATTTTTCACTTTTACAAGATATTTGAGAGAAGGACTTGTTTTGGTTATCAGGAGTCATTGATGCTTTATTGTTTATACAGGACAAACTGAAGATTATTAAAATGTTCAAATGTTATTTTCTGTTTTCTTTAGGTGTTACATCTGTTGTATGTATGTGCATATAATTATACTACCTTACAAATGATATACCTTAAGCCATACTTAACACAATTACCTACATTTAAATGAGGAAAGGTTTTTGGGTGTATGTCTTTGTTTGTGCCGACCCAACGCAAGAAACTCTTCTTTGATACCTGTAGCAGTTTTATATTTTTCTCTTTCACAAGATATTTGAGAGAAGGACTTGTTTTGGTTATGAGGAGCTAATGATGCTACGTTGTCTTTACAGTCAAGACAAACTGAATATTATTTAAATGTTTAAACCTTGTTTTCTGTGTTCTTCGGATGCTATAGCACCTACAGATGAGCCAGAATCAGAATCAACGAGTGTATTACCAGGTTTGTTGACACGTACGAGACATTTGACTTGGTTTTGTGGTGCATACATAAAAGTAAAACAAAAATAAAATAAAAACACAGATAGCGAACTATATTAAGAACACTATTATAACATTACAAAAACAAATAAGAAAAAATATAGTCAAATAGAAAATAAAATAATTTACATTGAAATAGAATGCAATCAAATGTAAAATATGTGCAGTAAGCAAACCAGATATTGTCAACATTGTGTGCATTAATGTATGTGCATATCATGTATGTGCATATCATTTATATTACTTTACAATTAATAATTCTACCCAAACAATACTTTAAAAAATATTTCTCTTCAATATAATGAAATAAAGTTAAATGAGGAATGGGTTTTATGTGTATGTCTTTGTTTGGGCAGACCCACCAGCAAGCACCAACATCCCTGGTATTGTCAACTACACCAGCATAAGGGTGGCCATTATTGGAGGAATGGCTGGTTTGATGATCCTGATTACCTGCTACATAATCTGTAAGTATATCACTTTGAAATATATATAAGAAACTAGGTACCAAATTCGCAGATAATGATTGGATTTGACTTCAGGTACTACTGGACCAAATAATTAAAAACTTGAAAAATCCTGACCTGACCCAATTAAAGTGACCTTTCTGTAACATTGTAAATAAGCTCAGCTTAACGTCTTGTTATCTTGCAAAGGAAAAATGCTGACCTTTCTAGATATGAAGGTTGGATGACGGAAGTACTGAAATGTATCAAACCTGGGCTCACCACAAACAAATCAGAAATCCCCTCTAGGTTATATAAAATTGTAAAACTGCTGCCTGGTGCTGTACATATCGTAGCTCACCATTACAAATAAATAATAAGAATTGTAAATTAAAAAACATAAAGATATCTAACAAACCCACTTTTTATCCGATTAAAATGTCTACAAAAATATTTGGTTGACTCCTAAACCGTTCAAATCATACACATGGCGAAAATCCATACCTCATAGGGTGGAAAAGTACATGCGAGAGACTCAGCCTGAGAGGAATCTGTAAGAAACAACTAGTCAGGACTAATGTTAAATACCAATTTATCACAGTCAAATGCATTGATTTATGGAACAACTTCAAGGACTAAACTAATACGATTATTTTCTTTTCTTTTCCCAATCAATTCTTTCTTGCTCTCCAGATAAATACTTTGGAGCCAACTTTGCCAACTCATTGGTTTTCAAAAGGTTGCCCACAGCTCCCATTGTTCCTGTCCTGGTGGTGTATCCTGCTGTGAATTCAGCCTTCCAGCAGGCCGTGGTGGCCCTAGCAGAGTTCCTGCACGGGCACGGCGGCTGCAGCGTGGCTGTCGACATGTGGCAGCAGGGGAAAATCGCAGAGCTGGGGCCCATGCGCTGGCTGGCAGAAAAGGTCATGACTGCAAAGAGAGTGCTCATCGTCTGCCCACAGGTAGGGATTTGAAGTTGAATGTAATATTTACAGCATCCTCCTCATACCTTAATAATAGAACAGGTCTGCCATGACAGTTTCCCTTCACTAACTTTGTTGCTTTTTATAATACTATACCTGACTTACTTGACTCCTGTTGTTCATGTGGGTTGTACTTAGCCAATTGCACAGAAAACTAAACGGCTGCTTTTTGGGGTTATTTCTGCTGGAATAATATTTGTTTTCCTGTCCTTGTCCGAAGACAAATACTAAAATCTATTTTCTTTTCTCAGCCCCATTTACAGACCAGGGCCTCTTCACCCAACATAACTCTTCAGGAACCCTCAATCTCAGCTGCAGCTCAGGACCTCTACCCCCTGATTCTCAACATGGTGGCGAGCCATGCCAAAAGCCCCGGCGACTTGGCTAAGTTCTGGGTGGTGCAGCTGGGAAAGCAGCGGGACAAAAAGCTTGGCAATCTTCCACTCGAACTGAGAACCTGCAAGACTTTTAGTTTGATGAAGGACTTAAACAAGCTGTGCAGGAGGCTGCATACCAAGAGTAAAGATGAGAAGACGATTTCCGATCTGTTCTTCAGACCAGGGGTTGCCTATATTGAAAAGTGTACAGGGAAGTTAAGGGAAGCTGTGGAAAAGCTAGGTGGACAGCAGCCAAGCATTTTCAGTGAGGAGGAACCATTGACATCTGAGGATGCCATTGTTTGAACATCTGCAATAAAATGTTGATTGATTTATAGAGAGGTTGGGTTGGGATAGGTCATTGGTGAATAGCTGAGTATTTTAATTAGTTATCATCCTCATCATCATGTAACCTCATGAACACAAGCACAAAGAAAGAAAGGCATCGTAGATAACTTCTCTTCTTATTTATTTTGTATACAATAAACAAAACAAAAAAACCTATTTGTAGTTTGTTTCATCTGCAATCCTTCTAAATCAATTCAACAGAAACAGTGTGAGCAGTGTGAGCTGGAATAGGATTTACGGGTATAAAAGTTGATGATCATATTATGTTCCACTTCAAAAAGTAGTTGATATATTTTTTCAATGATGTATTATTAAAATGTAAGATTCACATTCACAAAAAAATATGGAGACCACTTAAGTCCACCAGAGAAGTCAGCTGCTAATGTTAGCACACTACTGAAAGATTACGTTTTCAAATGCTGTTGCGTTGAGGCAGTTTGTCAACTGTTTGAGTCTTCTCTGCTTGTATGCATGCATTACATTATGACACTGTCTACTTTTGTGCCTTGTCGCCACAGTGGCTGGTAAGTTTACATGCTTGATTTTATTATTTAGTATCTAAGTTGAGTAAGGTTATATATGTTGTCCTTCTCCTCACAATATGTACTTAAAATTACATGCAAATTAGCAAGGTTTTTCAAATATGTCTGACACATAGACAGTATGGTATGACAGCAGAGCGCTTTGCAGCTGGCACAGACAAGAGGCAGGGTCAAGTAAACACATCTTTCCACAAATAGAAATCGTTAGTTTGTACCACGTGATCAAACACGGAAGTGAAATCTACTGCTGCCTTAACTTACTATTCAGAGGAAGATCCACGCTTGGGGTCGCATTGTAAAGTATTTCACGAGCACAGGGTGGTTGCTACTCACCATTTCTGACTTTTTAGTCGACTTAACTTATCAGAAACCATGACTCAGGCTGAGAAAGAGCAGGACAACGGGAAGGAGAAAGAAAAAGAACGAGACAAGGAGAAAGAGAAGGAGCAACAACGCGGGGTGAAAAGACCCATCGCTCCTCCGGCCATCCCGGACCCCCTTCAGGAGGTAAGAGGGGGAATCCTGTGTCTTATTAATACTTCTTATTCCTATAAAGTATCCAAATATCCTGCTCTCAATCTTTAAAACTCACTATAGCTTTAACGTGCAAATACAGCCCATATACAGGGGCTTAAAATCAGTTAGCCTACTTGAACTCTCAACAATACAACATACTCAAGACAGAATGTACAATGATGCACAGTTGAATAATTATATTTATACTACTATTTCTATTTTTACTATAAACATATGCATGTGCTATAAACATGTGTAAGTGATGACACTTACCAGAACTCAGGAGTGTAACGCTTATATGCAATGTTTCAGATCATTTTTTTTACTTGTTTCCTACCTTTGGTTTGGAAGAAGTTTTCAGTACTGCACAAATCCCTTACTCAAACCATGCATTTAGGATGAAGGGGACGGCTGACTGTGAGCCAGGCTTTTTTCGCCCAACATCAGTGTTAGGCCTACTGCTCTGTGGGCCCATTAGAGGCTGTTATATGATAATATCAATGCCGATGCTTCTCGCTTTGTGCAAGACATGCATATGTGTTTATACTGCTGATTTTCTCTCCCTGTCTTTCTTTTTTTACAGCAAATACAGAGCAATTTCATCATTGTCATTCACCCTGGTTCAAGGACACTCCGCATTGGGCGAGCTACTGACACTCTTCCCATTATACTTCCTCATGTGATCGCTCGCAGACACAAGCAAACTGGACAGCCCAAATATGAAGATGCCTGGCTGTTGAGAGATGGTCTAAATGTTAGTCACTCATGATCACATACACCCACGATTCAGTCTTTTATTCTGTGTCTTACTCTGTTGTACTCACATTCAATTTCACATCTGTTAATGTACCATCACCACTTCTACTTCCTGTGCGACAGAAATCAGAGAGTAATGAGCAGAGGCAGAACGGGCTTAAAATGGTCGAACAGGCCATCTGGTCCAAGAAGATGTCCAATGGAGTGCGGAGGACACCGGTGTCCGCTGAACAGGTTTGTGTTATAAAAGATAGAGAACTGTTACAGATACTGTATATAATAGTGCAATATTCGACAGCAACAGGATGCAACAACATAGTGCAGGTGTAAGTGATGTTTCTATTATTTGGAAGAAATGTGAAGCACCTTTGGCTGCATGGCTTGCATGTAGAGTTCGAGAGTAAATAAAGGGGTCGATTTTAAGGGAATCATTTGTGTCATTTTAAATGGGTTTGTAGGAGTTACTTATCCATATCAGTGTACAGTAGATTGAGGTCAGCACACCCCAGTTTAGAGAAACAGACTGAAGTACCATCACTAAAGCAAAGCAATGTACTGCTGTGGACAGGGGAAGCAGCAAAACGTATGTGTCCTACCTAAATTATATCAGTTTAAGTGTACACTACATTCTATATCTTCACCACTCTTAACTTGCAGTTGGACAACCTTTTCCGAAGCAAAACTGAAGCCGTTTTTACACTCTTGCCAAAGCTACCAGACTCCATTTAAGGAAAAAGTTGTTGTTTCTAGCCTTTTTGGAATTGCTACCGTCAGAATGAACCATTTTAAGTATAATGAATAATCCTAGCGTAGGTCTAGTGTCTAACGCTGATTAAATAATATTTTTGTTGTGCTTGTTTGTGTGTGTTAAGGCCAGGTCTTATAACTGTCAGATCCGTCCGGCAGTACTGGACAGCAGCTCCAGGGTGAAGTGGACCAACACCGCCCACCAGCCTCCGCATCTGGTGGGAGAGGAGGTGAGTGCATGTGACTGATTGCTCCTTTAAAACAAAACATTTAAAACTTTATTTCCCTAAACGTCTTGTCTGTTTATGCTATTTTCTCCTTGTTTTCTCTGGCCATACCCCACCCTTCCACCCTGTCATCATGTAGGCTGTTTATGTGAATCCTTCTGACTGTTACAACATCCACTGGCCTATAGTCAGAGGTCAGCTTAACGTTCACGCCGGTCCCGGAGGCTCACTGACCGCCGTCCTGGCTGACCTTGAGACGATCTGGAGTCACGTTATTCAGAAGCAACTGGAGATCCCCCTCAAAGACCTAAAGGTAGAACAAACCTCCTCTCCACTTCATTATATCACCTGCTTCTGAGGGGCAAAGTTGATAGATGGTAGACAATAATGAAAATGTTAACAAACTATGCTGATAGTGGAATACGTTTCTTTCTTACATGACTGGTTTCCAGTATTACAGATGCATCCTGCTGGTCCCCGACATCTACAACAGACCGCACATCAAAGAAGTTGTCAACATGCTGCTGCTTAATATGGGCTTCTCGGGTAATTCAAAGCAGGAAACAACAAAAACAAACATATTCACTGTTATATTCTGCCAAAGTCTATTCAGGGTAGTTAAGGAACTATTCAATATTCTCTCTTGACCTTACATTATCTCTGTCCTTTTTATGTGTGTGTGTTCAATAGCGATCATCGTGCACCAGGAGTCTGTGAGTGCTACATTTGGCAGTGGGTGCAGCAGTGCCTGTGTGGTGGATGTTGGAGACCAGAAGACCAGTCTGTGCTGTGTCGAGGACGGAGTGTCCCACCGGAACTCCAGGTGGGACCATGAACCACTTTTATGTTTAATCTGTTAATTAGTTAATTCATCATCATTATATTAAAGTTGCATCTCAATGCTCCCTTTTACACATAAGACCAATGAGTCCAAATCAATTAAAATACACTGCACATTTTGAGAAACTTCCCACTGAGACATTACAGAGACTGTAGTGTAGTATTACCTGATGTGTTCTTTTTTGTTGACGTTGCAGACTGTGTTTGGCATACGGTGGCTCGGATGTGACCCGTACGTTCTTCTGGCTCCTGCAGAGGGCGGGCTTTCCTTACAGAGACTGTCAGCTGTCCAGCAGACTGGACTGTCAGCTCCTGCAGCATCTCAAGGACACCTTCTGCCATCTGAACCAAGTGTGTGTTTATCATCTGTGGGGGGTCTGCGACTTTAAAAAGTTTCAGTTTGTCGTTCACACCTTTGTGTCTATTTTGGATCGCCATAGTCGTGCTCAAGAATGGAGAGAAATGTGCAGCTTTTCAGATACGGATAGAAATGTGTTTTTCCTTCTCTTTTTCTTAATAGGACATATCAGGACTTAAAGATCATGAATTCCAGACACGTTTCCCAGAAGCCCCAGCTCTTCTCTATCAGGTTCGACTAGGGGATGAGAAATTACAGGTACGCAGGTTGAATAATGATATGCGTTTCACATTAGCATTGGGATCTTTTTTACTTTATTTGGTATCTAGCAACTGAAATGTCTTTTTATCTATGGCTCTATTTGTGTGTTCCCTCCCCCTCTTTGTGTGATTGGCTCATTTTGTGTATGCATGTTTTAGGCCTCCATGGGTCTTTTCTACCCGACCACATTTGGCATTGTAGGTCAGAAGATGACATCGCTTCAGTACCGTTCCCAAGGCGACTCGGAGGATCCTCATGATGAACACTACCTGCTGGCTACACAGAGCAAACAGGACCAGGTAACACACATAGATATTATATAATCATTTCTTGAGTTTGAGTCTCTGTGATTCTTCTTTTGTTATTTATAATTCTACCATTTTGTCCACCAGTCCTCCAAATCTGCTGCAGACCGAAAGGGTATTTCCAGGCCAGGTGGGGGTTTGGACGGGGAGATGAGCGCTCAGGGGGGGATTGGGGAGCCCTCTGACCTGGGCAGGGGCTGTGGGAGTGGTGGCAGCGGTGCAGGAGGGATGAAGGGGGAGACGGAGTTTGGGACTGCGCAGGGGGAGTGCCTGATGGGGGCAGGAGAGCTGGAAGAGCCCCCGTCTGCTCACCTCTCGAGGAAGACTGCCATCATGAGCCAGTTTGAGAGCAAGGCCCTGGGACTGGATAAGGCTATCCTGCATAGCATCGACTGCTGTGGTAAGGATGGACAGAGGATTCAATAAAGTAAACAAATAAACAAGGGGAAAAATAAAAGAGAAGTGGAAAGAGTGTTATGGTCAGTTATTAAGTGGATAAGCATTGACAAAGGAAGATTTTTATTTTGCTTTCGACAATAAAGTTGAAATGTTGCAAATAATGTCGAATCGGCGGTATAAGCACAAAAAGAAAATCTCCAAAGTTTGACTTTTATCCCAAAATGTCAAGTTTGTTCTCAACATTTCGTCTGAGTTTAAAAAAAAATCTGTTTTCTCCAATTTTGTTTTTCTCAAGCCTTTCAACTAATAGTAAACACTTTTGTATTTATTTAATTATATTCTCCAAGTGCAGATTAGCATCCCTCTTCTCATTCCCCCCTTATGCTTGGCCCTTGAGACTCTCCAATAAGAACATTGGATGTTTTATGTTGCTCAGAATGTCCCGTTGTGGCTCATCTTGTTTTTACTTTATTTTAAAAGCATCGGACGAAACCAAACGCAAAATGTACAGCTCCATCCTGGTGGTGGGAGGAGGACTCATGTTTCCTGGCGCTCAGGAGTTTCTTCTTCACCGCATCATCAACAAGATGCCGCCCTCGTTCAGAAGGCTAGTAGACAACGTGGAAGTTATAACGCGGCCAAAGGTAACCTGGAAATCTCACAAAGTCAGAATAAACTTATCAATTGCATGTGAGGGTGTTCAGGGGACTTCATTTTTCATTCATCTCCATTTATGTCATATGTTGGGAGATAGTAAGATGTGTACAGGAAGCAGCTCTTATAATGTATTATTTTGATGTGCACGTGCTCTAGGACATGGACCCTAGGCTGATATCGTGGAAGGGTGGAGCAGTGCTGGCGTGTCTTGACACCACCCAGGAGATGTGGATCCATCAGAGGGAGTGGCAGCGCTTTGGTGTGCGGATGCTTCGCGAGAGAGCTGCCTTTGTCTGGTGAAACCCAACAGATTTGACTTGAATCTAACGGACAGGAGACGTAGTGTGAGCAGCACGTTAGCTGAGCAGCAGCCTCAGTGCTCAGAGTCTACATATGGTGCTTTCAGGCTCAACCCAACATTGAGACTTGGCAGCTCAGAATAAGACAGCACTTGATCAAATTCATAGTTGATGAAGCAGTGTTGTGGAATTCACAATGACTACACTGCTAACACTATGTTGTTCAACAATCTTTTTTAATTGTGTTTTACATCTTTGGTTTCATCCTTCAGAAACACAGATGAGGTCATTGTAACTTTTGATTCTTGAATTGTGTTCTGTAAATAATACTGCAATTATTCTCTTTAGAGACGTTTGGAAGTATGTAAATAAACCAATTTCACTTCATTCACAATTGTTGCATTCGATTGGAAAAAACCTAATCCACCTTTCTTGGAGTATTGAACATATTGAATTGAAACGCAAGGTTGTTAGCATTACGTCCAACACTTTTAAAACATGGTAACCTGCTCTGCAACATTTCTTTCTATTCTTATTTTAGTATTTAGTGTGAAAGTATTAGAACAAAACGAACTCGGTAGTAGCATGTTTAAACATCTGCACATCTTTATTTAGACAGAAGGATACAAAACAAAGACAGACTAATTTATGATACCCAGAAAGGAAGATCATAACAGACAAGTCAGTGACACATCTCTCAGTGTGAGAGGGGGGTAGAAACCAGAGGGAATAATGTGGATGGCTGCTGTATCGGACATTCTGGCCCCTACATGTAGGTATTCCCAAAAAGGCGTCAAGAAACTGCTTTTGGCAGCGGCAGCCGGAGAGTAGGGGCTTCAGCACTGTGACATCACCATCGTCCTTTGAGGTTCTCAGCAAACAGACACTGTGCAAAGCCCCGCGCCTACACTGAATGTGTAGGCGTTTACCTAAAGAGAGAAGACGGGGTTTGGCGATTAAAGGCAACGGAGCAATGTTTCCTTCAACTACTTTTTTTTAGGAAATTTGTTTGAATAAATCCTTAATGTCCCTTTGTGAAACAGGCTCCAAAGATAGAAGGTATGGAATATCAATTTTTGGACGAGTAATGTTTAATTAAAAAAAAAAATCCTCACCTTCCTCATCCTCCTCCTCCCATTGGTGGAGAGCTGGGCCCTGCACCGTGGTTTATTCTTCCCATTCGTTTTCTGCCACCAGGGGGACCTGGAGGACTGAAAACACAAGGAATATAAAAGTGAGAACATTAGGAAATTAGATAAGAGGTACTACAAATGTTTTGTTTTTTTCATTTGCTTGTCTAAAATAGATATGAAACATTTATACAAGGGCAATACATGCCAACACTCTCTTCCTGAAATACACAAGACTATGCTCCAATACATTCAACTGCTGCTGTAGTAATCAACAGTGCAAGAAGGTGTTTGAATCGCTAGCTCTCAGGTCAGGACTTCCTTTAGAGTTTAAAATACATGGGTTTTAAACATGGATCCAAAGACAGAAAAAAACGAAACATGGTTATACCTATACAAACAAATCTGAACTCGTTTCTGAATACTGGCAAGTACATGCTACCACAAAGACTGCACTGCCACCATCCGATTAGGGGGACTTCAATGCTCCAGGGACTTACCCTTTGCCATCACTGAAGCGTGACAAAACACCGCTTCCATCCTTTTTCACGTCAGGGTTTATCATCGACTTAAAACTGGTAGAAAACAAAGAAGATAAGAAAATACAAAAACTTTAGTATTTAATCAGTTATTTGTTACATGACAAGATACATGAAATAAACATCGCATAGCTAAGATGATGAATATGGTAAATATTATACCAGCTACACATCAGCATACAAGTATTGTTATTGTGAGGATGCTGACATGCCCCTAGGAGACAGCAGTGTGGCTGTAGACTAAGACTTGTAATTATTTTACAGTTCAACTACTTTCCCCGTTGTGAAAATAACAAAGGTAAGAAAAACTTAAAGAATAGAATAGGATAAAAATGACAAAACATTATAATTGATTAATTTAAAAAGAGATTCACAAAGATGACAAGACTTGGCTTGTTTAATTTTCATTATTTACCAAATATTTTCAGAGCAATGGGCTCTGTTATGAAAGGCTGTGTCTACCCACATGTTTAATCTAGATCACAGTCTCTCCAAATCAAAACCTACAGGAGAAACTCAGACTTGGAGAACTAGTTTAACTTGCTGAAATAATGTAAGATAAGCATCAACATGTGAAACCCATATTCCTCCAGCTAGTAGAGATATAGGTGGAGAATGAACAAAGTTGTAGTGAGGTTTGATTACATTTCATATTGCATACATAATGGCACTCACAACAGGCCGATAAAATCCACTGCTCCCCAGAAGAAGTCGACCAGTAGGGACAGTCGCCATGGTGACTGTAACCTGCTGTCCAGGACCTGACCTGAGATACACAGAGAGGTGGATCAGACAAATACATTTGTGAAGATATTCACATTCAAAACAAAGAGTGTATGTTCAAGTTAATGGTTTACCCGGATGTACCCATTATCCTAGCATTCAGTACACACAGGCTACAAGCTAAATCATAGCGACACAGAACACAACATGATCTCAGGGCTGTAACATCGCCTTATTCCTACTGTAATACAACCTGAGATTATATGCTGACCAATGGAGGGAAACACTAATATATGGTTTTGTTTAAGACCCACTTGATACCTTGGGTAGTTATTCATGCTGCGCAGATCAAGCTAGGCTATGCTTGCTAACGAGCTAGCTGTTAGTTAGCTTAATGTAGCCTAAAGCTCTGCCACAATTACACATTGTATATTCAAGTGGTTTGTTTGAAGTGGAAATGGTTAACAAAGAAACACTGTCGACAAAAAAGCTAAATATTTACTCTGAAGATGAGAAAAAGGTTGAAGAGACAAGGCAAACCACTCACCGTTAGACACGTACACCATCTTTTAGAAAGTAACAACACAGCTTTATCAGCTGTGTTTACATCTGGCGGATGTACTTCCGGTTGCGTCATTCTGATGTAAATGATGTACAACATATTGGGGCTTTAAAAATACGTTTTCCTAACATATCTATTCAAATAAAAACGAGGCATGTCCTTAAATGAAAAGAGACCTCTCAGTCAAAAGAATGCTGAATTGTTTTAACAATTTTCCTAATAGAAAGAAAAAACACTATAATCCATTTTTAAAAGAGGTCTGTAGACTACCTACTTCCCAGGAAAAATACAAGTAAGCATTAATTTGGAGTCATTAGTTCACATGATATGAAACTATTAAAACAATCCAAGAATTTTCAACTAAAAAAGTGGCTGAATTTTCATACAATAATTTATGAAAAATAAATAAAAATTTCGCTTTTAAAATATTACTGAAATTATCTTAGTTGAAAACATTTAGTAAAAAAGGTTTTGATTTTCGAGATATTCACTATTAGGGACAAGTTAGCAAAGAGGTAAGTGAAACCATGTGGGTGAAGAGTGAGATTCCTCTGTCTTTGAAACTGAGGAAGAAGACGTAGCTGGATCCGGAGTGAACATCCAGCCTTAAGCTATTCTATTATATAACGCACTGGCACTTGTATTGCTGGCATTCACGTACAGTGGGAGCTGCAAACACTGAAGCAAGAGTGAGAAGAGCTTTAACATCATCAAATGCTTTCTGCCAACTACCAGTTTTATATAATCTCTTTAACAAACAAACATATACACATTTTTGATTCAGTGTAATGTTTAAATAAATAGTAAAAGGTGCTGCTTTGTTTTTTAATCAGGTGTTCCTGATACATATAACCTAAAAAAGGCAAAAGCACCCAGCATAACACTATCAAGCTTGAGAAAAGCCTGAATATACGTCATTCATGCAAAAATAAATAATACATAACACACAGTAAATAATCAGAGCCATCGCATTACACAGTTGGCAGATAAAGGGATGAAGGCATTCTGTGGTTTTCCATTAACATGACCAATGTGGATTAGAAATGCTGAAACGCAACAAGTTAGTCCTTTTAGCTGTTCTGAGGTTCAAGTCCTGTGCTCTCTTCATCAGGTGTGTGTGTGCGGTACTCTTCTTCACTGATTTGTGATGCAGGATCTATTCTCTTTTCAGATGTGTCTTTGTTGTAATCTTCGACTCTAGCCCAGTGTTCAGATATTAAATTGTCTCCCACAGAGATTTGTGTGCCAAACTCTTTGTCACTTGTTTGTAGATCAGGTGTTGTGTTTTCTCCACCAGGTTTCTGTATGCCAGACTCTTTGTCAGGTTCAGTTTTATCAATGTTTTCTTCTGACTCCAGTCTGTCAGTTTCGGTCTCTGCTTTCCGACTGGCTGCTCCTCGAAAAATACCAGCTTTGTGAAGCTCTCGCCGTATAGTTTTCACTGAGACAGTGTGAGATAGATGTCTGTTTAACTCTGAGGTTATCTTTGAGGCTGTATATTCAGGGTGCTCATCGACTATCCTCAGAAGTGTCTGTCTATCCTTTTCCGTGAGCTTAGACTTGCGCCCACTGTTGTTCTTTGCGGATGCTGTTCGTCCATGTTTGATGTATACAGTCATGACCCTGGAGACTGTTCCTCTTGCCACATTAAACAGCTGAGCAGTTTTGGTGACAGATGCACCGGACAGGCGTGCAGCAACAATTTGGCATCTTTCAAACTCTGTAAGGTCACTCATACTGCTTTGAACACTGATATTTATGTGTTGACAGTCTCTGTTGGAGCCTACAAGCAACCCCCACAGGCAGGCAGGCCCTGTAATTCCTACGTATGGCTCCAAAGTCCTCTGTTAAATGGGGTTTCCATTATTCAAGGGAGGAGAACACCCACCATTGTGTCTATAAATGCATGAAAAAGGGACAATTAGAAACGCCAGAAAGCAACATTTAAAAATATATCTGTGACACAACAACATTCATTTGCATAAGGTAGATGTTAAACTGTAACAGGAGAACCACCGTGTGACAGCTAACATTACAGAGACATTTAAATAACTTTACAGAACAATAACCCAGCAGCAGATACACAAAGATAACGTCCACGAGCTCATTAGTCCTAATTAGTTGTTGTTGTTGTTGTTGTTGTTGTTGTTTTCTTTACAGTTTATTCGCTGGTTTATTTTCCGATGCTGTCATTTTAAGGCTAACGTTTGTCAGGTAGCAACTTGCCCCATTAGCTTCCATCAACAAAATACGTTTTCAGAACGCAGTGGTACCATTTGAATATAGATTGAAACAATTGGCATGGGGACAGTTTACGGTGTTTTACTTACAGATACAAAGTATGCAGCCTTCACACACCGCTACTTTATCACCGAGTTGGTTTGTGTTCACCGGGGAAAGAACAAGTACTTCCGGCCGGAGGTTTTCAGAATAATGACCCATGACAACAGTTGTTCCCATTATTTTACCATAGGCCTACTACAATTTTTTGAACTAGAGAATGCAATTCCTGAAGAAATTGCTAGTGGGAATGCTTTATGCTGAAAAGCTCACGCTAAACTGCTATGCTGAAATGTGAAGAATTTAGATTGAAATGATACATGAACACTGGGGGCTTGAATGTGTGAAGAGAGAAGAAAAGAAAGTAAAAAGGCTTGGAAAAACAGCGGAATATTTGAACTGCAAACTTCTGAACTAACTTGATGGCGAATGAGCTGTCGCCATGGCAACGACATTTGATGACACCCCATAATACGCTTAGATGCGTTGATGGCTGCATCGTTACCAAACCTGTGAAGTTTTGGGGCGTTTGGAGCAGTTTCACTGAAGTTATGAGAAAGCCGTATTTCATGGCGAGCATTGTGTTGCCATGGGAACGGCATTTGAAGAAATCTCAAAACTGTCCCGTATATGTCTTCACGGCTGGACTGTTAGCACACATGTGAAGTTTGAGCACTTTTTGAACATTTTCATAGGAGTTATAGTGACATCATGTTTTATGGCGAGGGATGCGTTTCCATGGAAACTGAAGAAACACATTCCTCAATGTCAGTTTCGGTAATTTATTGACAAGGATGACGACACCCGGAAACAGAGTAATGCAGCAAGATAAGCTGACAAAGTATTACCTCCATGCATGTCATCAACACAAATATATACCACGACACAGAGTATAGTAGTATAATAGTATAATATATATATAGTATAATATATAGTATAATATAATAGTGGAAACAGTCTTACACAGAGGCGCGGGAAGGTATTTTGAGTGGGGGTGCTGAGGTGCTGTCCGATGTGCTAATTACGCACCG